CTACGCACAATTTGCAATTACTTTTATTATTATTGAAGTAAATGTGCTGATTGAATTAAATATGCGTTGAATTGTAAAATAAGTGGGTGTAAGTGACATTTCATAATGTTCTATATATGTGTAAATAATCGACGTAATCAATAAAAAATAAATTTTATCTATTCAGATGAAATGTTAACAGAGTTTATATCGAAAATATATTTTTTGCTTTCACAAAAAATTATCAATACGATTTTCAGCAAACATTTTACGATTTAACCGACTTATAATATTTGTAATTGTACTTAATGATTTTTTATAACTCAACCACATTTTCTATAATATTTTGATCTACAGGATTTCTTGCGTCAGGTTAAGTTTTAATGTTGCATTGCATATAAACAATTAATAAAACTATAATATGAGGTAGAGCGAAGAATAAAAGTCCAATTTGACTTTCAGTAATTATAATGCTTAAACTAAATAAACTACATGGCAATACTTAGCATGTATCAAACGAACAACTATCGCGCTATTTTTGTTAAAATTCTGAGTTATCTCCTAATCATAGAAATATGGTTTTTGACAATTTTTCTAAAATACGTCATTTTTTCATTTTTGCCGGATGAGCGGGGAAAGTAGAAACAGCCAATGGGCTAACGGATTCAACATCTTTTTCTAATTTTAAAACAAATTTAGAAAACAATAGCTAAATAATTCAACCAATGTGAAATGCAAATTATATGGAAATATTTTTTACAAAGACTTGATTGTATTAACAAATTAAAATACATTTCTTCCAAAATTCCAAAGTGTTCTTCCGAACAATCGTGCGATATAATAACACAAACGAATTATATTGATTGAATTCATTACGCATATAGAAGAAAAACCATTTACGAGGTAGATAAATTTTATTACGTCTAGACTGTATGAGTTTTGTTACAAAAATATTTTCTATTGGTAAAACAATCAAGATAAAATACCACACACGAGTACAAAAGTACAAAGTTCTTTGGGTAAAAGCTGAATTGAGGCAAAGTAAAAACACTATGTTTTCTTCAGATGACGTAAAATTGAATTGTTTTAAATTTCTATTTGGAAAACATTAATTTATTCGAATGGGGTATCATGGCACAGCGTAAAGCGTACTATTCGATAAACAGCAAATCCAGGGTTCAAATTCTTGCTTCGGTCTGATATCAAGCAGCCGTCTTCGATATTTGTAATAAATTTTTAACTTCCCGTAGGGTAACTTAAACGTAACGGGTAGGGTAAATTTTAACATTTCTTCACGTTTTGAATGTTTCTGAACATTTGAAACACCTCAGAAAAAATGGTTGTGTGTGTATGTATGTATGGATACAATTTTTCGTCCGCGTTTTCGGGCGCACGGATCAATCGATTAGAATGGTTAAAAAAAACATTCGATTCCTATTAATAGAGATGTGCCGATTAGTTTTTTTCAAAGGCAGGTGCGGAACTCATCCGAACCCAGCCATTTCGGAGAAACGGAGCAAAGAGTACAGAAAATAGAAATCGAGTTTTTGAGAGATCGGAACATCCGATTTTAATGATACAAAAAACATTCAATTTGTAATGACGGGGAGAAATGGTGATTAATTTTTGGCAAAGGCAGGTCCAGCTCTTTTGGAGATTCAGAGCTAAATGTGCAAAAAATGGCAGTTTTTGAGAGAACTATAAGCGTCCTATTTTAATGATTCGAAGAACCTTCTGCTTGTTTAAATATTTGCTTTCGGAAAAAAAATTTTTTGTTTAATTTTTTTTTTCAATTTGTTTTTCAACTATTTTTTTTTTCTATATCGAAAATAATTCAGATTTTAATTGTAATTCTGACTTAAATTCTAATATACTTTAAACAAATATTTTCAACTTTGCAATTCAGTTATTATATTTCTTATAAATATTAGGCAATGTTATAGTATTTATTTATAATAATCTATTTGAAAACATTTAATATTCCTCGAACATTTCGTTATGGTACGGGAAGTTCCAGCAGCTTGCCTTAAGACACGATGCCATACAACGAAAGAACTTTTGTTATGTATTTTAAATATGGCCGGATATATTGTTGAAAAATTCTTACCCACGGACTGTGATAAAATACATCTAATTTTTGTCTATTTCAAACAACATCATTCTTAAGTGAATGAAATGGTATCTAGACTACGTCTTGAATGAAAAAATTTTAAATTCAGATTTCAAATTCACTTTACAGATTTTTGCCTTCTCATCTTCCATTTTTTTTCTCTCTTTCTCTAATATTTATTGCAAGGGTGCAGATATACTTCAGCACTCATGAACAATAAAAGCAATCAATGACAAGGCTAGATCGTGGGATGCTTGCACGGATCATTAAACAATTCGTTAAGAAAACACTCGCGTTTAACAGAACTTTACAAAATTAAATATATGTTTTTTTATTTCTTTCGGGTGTTTCTTGATATCGTGAATAGAAAAGAACTAAGCAAAATACCGCGGAAACTAAACAATCGATGTTGAAGGGAAAAAGTTTCCACTGTATGTAGGAACATTGGTTCTACTAACGTATCTAATATGTTTCACAAAAATTATTCTGAAATGAAACAGAGTGTGTTTAAGTTTAAAGTTTTCAAATGATATTTATAATATGATCATATCAAGCCGTTTCCAAGATACGGATCAAAAAGTGTCAAAAATTGTAATTCTGTTTTTTTTTTAATTAACGAAACGAAGATCCAACTATTTTTTTTGTGTAGGTCCAGCAGTTCAATAAAAAAAGTAAACTAGTGGTGTATGGCATCGTGCCTTAAGGCAAATTGCTGGAACTTCCCGTACCATAACAAAATGATCGAGGAATATTAAATGTTTTGAAATAGATTTTATAAATATTAAAACATTATCTAATATTTATAAGAATTATATTGTGGGAGTCGTAATGATTATGATAATATATTAAATTAGAAACTCCCAACAATAAAAAAATATAAATTTATTAACTATAAAAAATATTTCGATATCAAAAATATACATGACATGTCCTATTGTTTTTTACAAATCAAAACCAGCCTGCTTGATATCGCCACACACTCCCTGCCCAGTGTTGATCTCACAGTTTAAAAAAAAAATACAGGGAAACACGTTATAAAAATGTGGTGGGAAAGCAGATTATAGCAGACCAGTGTTGTAATACTGGTCAATTACAAATTTCCATGTTTCGTCAGCAGATCCACCGTATGTGGTGATTTGACCTGCCATCAACTCCATATTCTGCATAATGTTCTCGATCTAATGGGTATTAGTTATATCAGAATAACTTAATGTTTAGAATGCATAATTTATGGGTACAGTTTCCATTTCTGCAAGCGTTGCATTCGTATCTGATGAGTTCCGATCAGAGAAAGAAGTTGGCTCTTTATCCAAATCAGGATCATTGGTTTCTTTGACATAAGAGTCCAGAATTGTGGAATCCAATAAATTATGTCAAATTTTGTTTTGATTCGTCGTTGTCACCGATAATGGGAGGTAGCATTATAAGACGATTTGTTGAGTTAACAGAGAAAGAGAGGTTGAATTGCATTCCAATGAAAAGTTCAGGCTCCAAATTATTTTTTCTGTCAGCAATAAACACTGAGGTCTGGGTATACCAAATGAGTAACCTCGGAAGTCTGATCCAGATAGTAAGTGCGTTAACTATGATGGATTGGACTGGACATACCTTATAGGTCGTCACTGAAGACCAGTGATTATGGTGCTGCGTCAAAATCAATTTTTCTTAAATCTTCGAAAAATAAAACTCCTTTATCTTCATCTCCATCGTCGTGAGTCACCAATGTGGGAGTCGTAATGATTATGATAATATATTAAATTAGAAACTCCCAACAATAAAAAAATATAAATTTATTAACTATAAAAAATATTTCGATATCAAAAATATACATGACATGTCCTATTGTTTTTTACAAATCAAAACCAGCCTGCTTGATATCGCCACAATATAAACTGAATTGCAAAGTTGAAATTATTTGTTTGAGGTATATTAGAACAGAATTACAATTAAAATCGGAATTATTTTTTGAAAAAGAAAAAAAAATGAAAAAAATGAAAAAAAATAGAAACAATTTTTTTCCCCCAAAAGCAATTATTTTGTTGAAACAAGCAGCAAGTTCTTTGAATAATTTAAATCGGATACTTAGTTCCCTCAAAAACTGCCATTTTTTGCATATTTAGCTTGCAAAAAATAGCTAGGAATCGAATGTTTTTTGAACCATTCAAATTCCGTGCACCCGAAAACGTGGACGAAAAATGCGGACATACAAAACACACACACATCCATTTTTTCTGAGTTATGCCAAAATGTTCAGAAACCTTCAAAACGCAAAAAATTTCATTTTCGATTTTCGGCTCATTACTATAACTACCCTATGGAAAGTTAAAAAAAGCTTTTTAGCGGTCAAAATAATCATTAGACATATGCACATCAAATTATTATATATTTTATAGAGATTTTAATAATAAGTATAAATTTTGATTATATTTTCATGGGTTCCGTACTTTTTAAAGAGACGCAGACGCCATACACAGCGACGCGCTTCGATATTTCATTTCTAAAACAGCTACGCTTTGAAAGATAGTTCAGAATTTAAAAAAAATGGAATATAAAAAATCAAAATATTTCATAAACGTCAATTTTTCTCAAAAAATTCGAAATTCTCCAAAATCTATTTCTTACAAAATTTTCAAATTTTTTCAAAGCTTTTTCAAAAAAAATAATTTTTGGTACGGGAAGTTCTAGCAATTTGCCTTAACGCACGATGCCATGCACCACTAGCTGCAACTTGTATTAGGACAAAATGGCTCTTGCACCTAGTTACTTTTCAATTTTAGTAATTATACACCGCGTGTCTAACTTCCAGATTTACGAAGGGTCGAAAGTCGAGCTGCGTTATAATTTTTAATTACAGTTTTAATGACTGAGACCGTTGCGAACATGAGATTAACATAAATATATTTTGTTTCAGCGAGAGGCTTTGGAATGCGCGTGGTTGGTGGAAAAACAGGAGTTGATGGGAGACTTTTTGCGTACATCGTATGGACTGTTCCCGGAGGACCAGCGGACAAAGGAGGTTTGCAACAAGGAGACAAGGTACACCGAATCAGAAACTAGCTTAGAAAATTATTTGACACATATATGCAAATAATAATACTGGAGTACTTCAAGATTGAGCAGAATATGCTTGTCTTTTTCTATTTTTTTTTTTTTGTTTTAACTCTTTTTTATTTAGCTATCGGAAATACTAATGCCTAAGAAGAACTCCAATGAGATCTTCTCATTTTAACAATTAATATAATAATATTATATTATACCTAATCTAAGACTAAGTCTAAAAGCCAGTGACGTTTCAATCTCCTTATGCTAAAAGGTTGAGTAATGTCAACTATTGATGGGTTCGAATGTGAGTCCAGTTTGCGTTTGTATTTTTCCTTAAATTCTTTGAACGTTAATTGCACCGTTTTCATGTTGAGGTCTCTGTAAATGGTTTCATTTGTCACGTACCACGGAGAATTAAGAATTGTACGTAAAATTTTTGACTGAGTTCTCTGCATTATAGCTATATTTGATTTGTAAGCACATCCCCAAAGCTTAATTCCGTAGGTCCAGTTTGGTTTATTGATTCATATAGCAGCAACTTATTTTCAACAGGGAGCTTAGACTTTTTACGCAGTAGCCAATCATATACTTTCATTTTGATCATTATTCACTTGAAGAATAATATAATAATGCAAAATGTATTTATAGAGATAATTACTCACTTGCTCTAGAAATGTTTCATACATTATATTTGACACAAGCTGAATATTCTCAATAATAAACTTTTACAATATTTCGGATGTCTTCTTTACTTTTTTATAATCCTTACAGGATATCAAGCTTTTAATAATATGGGTATAAAATGACAGTTTTGTAAACCATGTAGATTTACGATGTAAAATTTTTTCAGAGGACAAAGCATCCGATTCTAATGCTTCAAAAAAAGGTTTTACTTGTGAAGAAACGATTAGTATTTAGATTTTAATTTGTAGATTTGGATTTTAATTTTAATTCTACCTAAAGTTTACTTTCAGTTCATATAATTCTTCGAAATATGATAATATGAGTCAGCTTTTTGAAACTCCGCTTGATCTAGTTTTGTTTACTTCATGTAAGCATATATAAACGTCGTCGACCAATTTATTAGCTTTTAGAATTTGTCTATTTATGATAATCTATTTGGAAGCATTTAATGATTCTCGAATATTTCATTACGGTACAGAAAGATCCAGCAATTTGCCTTGATGCTAATGTGATGATAATAATTAAAAATATTCATCCCCTTGTAGAACAATATTTTTGATTCATTGACAGGCTTTGCTAAAGATATTGAATATAAGGGTGATCACCATAAAAGTTGCCATTCAACAAATATGACCGTAAATATAAAATGGATTTTTGTGATAGATTAATCTTCTAGTATTTCTATTAAAATCTTGTATACAATTTTGAGCAATTACTTAATCATTTGCAACTAAAGCTATAATTTATTATAGCTCCTTCTAAAATTTCGAAAAATTATCAAAAATCATAGAAAATTTAAATAATTATATTATTGAAGAATCTGAAAAACTTTCAATTTGATAATTTTTTTTTTACAGTAATCAAAATTTTTATCGATATTTATGAATTTAGAATTTTAGATTATTGATTATTTTGTAGGATAAGTTATAGCAGTCGCAGGTTTCTGAATATTTTAGCATGTTTTAGAAAAAACAGTTGTAGGTATGTCTGTTAGTGCGGACAGATTACCGTAAAGATCCAACGGTTTCCGAGATTGTTTTCCGAAAAAGTTTTTAAAAATTAAAAAAATGATAATCGGTACGGGAAATTACAGCAATTTGCCTTGATTTAATTTATTTAGAATCAATTAAATTACTCATTAAAAATATTATTTGGAGAATCATATAACTGGATTTCAGGTGCTCGAATGGGGTGGAGTGTCACTTTCAGATCGAACATTTGAAGAAGTATGTGCGGTAATGGATCGTACAGGCGACGTGGCGGAACTGCTCGTAGAGCATGCAACTGATTTTTGCATGCGCGATTTGCTAGAGGATGCGCCTGGGCCAAGGAAAGGTCAGCAGCAACCCCAAACAACCGGCGCGCCGGAAGGTGCTGGCGGTTTAGTAATAGGTAAGTTGATAGCCTTTTTTTAATATATATATATATATATATATATATATATACATGTGTGTGTATGCAAGTATAAATCATTTTAAACAAATTTTATTTTTGATAAAATGGCGCAGTGTAATATTTCATCAATAGTAAACACAGTTTTAAATTTCATTTTCTGAATCTAGTTATATAATGTAAACAACAGTGTGTTTTAACAACTACTGTATCGTTGCCAATTATAATCACTTTTACAATAATTTTAGAATTATGTGGGTTAACGGTCGGATGAACTCATTGTTTTTGTTTATAAAGTAATGCATGATAAATAATATATTTTTGATATTGGTAATTTTGAACAAGTCATGGGAGCCTTTTACTCAACATGTGGTCAATGCAAAGAGCAAAGTTTTGTTTGCACAATGATGGGAGTCATTGGATCAACGTTGTTTTTTAACCTAGCTGCAATAAAAATTGTGAGGCTTTAAATTTGATAATAAAAAATGGTTCATCAAAATTTATTGAAAACTGTTTAAGTGATTCAACATGTCTATTGATTACATATAAATGGCGCTAAATAACTAATATTTTGGCAGAAGGTTGTATTATTTTTATAATATAAGCAAACAAAATGAAATATATTAATTTTATCATTTTCTCTAATCTCGTTCTAAAGTGCAATAATATTTTGATGCTTATTGTATTCAGTCTGAAACATGATGTTTTATATATTCAATTCATATGTTTTATAAAAATAAAAAAATTTAACAACTTTTGAATAAGATGATCAATGTCTCTTTTATCAACAGTTGATGAAGTTTGCGCAAGTAGTTATTGATTTTAACAATAGTTAAATGGTATTGAACTGAATTTATTAAGAATTTATCGTAACAAAAATGAAACTATAATAAAACTCGAAATATAACTTAACCTGAACTAATTTGCATCCCGAAATGGTTCAGCGAATAAATTGGAAATCATTAATAATAATATTTCATTAAACTGTTAAACCGCTGTAGGTTTATGATATCTATTATTTCAATCATTAGATTGACATTGTAATGAAAGTCTTTAGAATTAGTAGAATTATTCACTTTATTAAAAATAATGTTTTTATGTATTTCAATTAATTTTTAGATACTGCTTATATTCAATTCAAATTACAACGAAAAAGTTTTTAGCACAATATCAAATTTTGTCAACAATCTCTAGGTGCTATGTAAAAAATATACATAATATATATATTTTATTTATTTTGTTTTCGTTGATTACATCTTGAATTTGTAATACTTGCTTGACTAGTTTAATTACACTTCGTAGCTTAATTCTTCCGTTATCGTATAAGAATGAAAATTAAACAAAACAATTGTAAGTCTTTATCCATTTCTCGTGAAGGATTAAAGTATTCCGAAACTTCAGAAGACAAAGTTTCAACTGAAATACAAACTTTTAGCAACTAAACGAACGTCCAAATTGTAGTAAACCCGCACGATTTCCAAGTTAAGAAAAACTTCAATCGTTGATGCTCAGAAAGAAAATTTTGAAACTGACTTTTTATAAATTTGGTTATAATTACGTATAAACTACGTATGCTTTGGCAGAAGTTATGATTAGTTGCTTAATTTAAATAATATATGTATATAGCGTGTCCCAGAACTCAACGTCAATCCGAACGGAGTGATAGTATTGATTGTAATTATCTTGAAAAAAAATTTAACTAGTGGGGTGGGTGGCATCGTGCCTTAAGGCAAATTGCTGGAACTTCCCGTACCGTAACGAAACGTTCGAGGAATATTGAATGTTTTCAAATAGATTATTATAAATATTGTATTATTGTCTAATATTTATAATAATTATATAAACTGAATTCCAGAGTTGAAATTATTTGGTTTAAAGTATATTAGAACTATAGTCAGAATTAAAAATAAAATTCTGAATTATTTTCGATATACAAAAAATTAAAAAAAAAAAAAAAAAAAAAAAAAAAAAAAAAAAATGGTACAAAATTTTTTTTTCCAAAATTAATTATTTTGTTAAGACAAGCAGAAAGTTCTTTGAATCAATTGAATCGGACGCTTAGTTCTCTCAAAAACTGCCATTTTTTGTACATTTAGCTCTGTATCTCCGAAATGGCTGGGCCTGCCTTTGCGAAAAACTAATAACCCTTTCTCCCATCATTACTAATGGATTTTTTTTAGATCATTCAAATCGGATGCTCCGTTCTCTCAAAACCGATTTCTATTTTCTGCACTCTTTGCTCCTTATCTCCGTACTGCTGGACCTGTCTTTGCCAAAAACTAATCAGCTCTTCTCCTTATTAATAGGAATCGAATGTTTTTTTAAACCATTCAAATCGGTTGATCCGTACGCCCGAAAACGTGGACGAAAATTGTATCCATACATACATACACACACACACACACACACACACACACACACACACACATCCATTTTTTCTGAGGTATGCCAAAACGTTCAGAAACCTTCAAAACGTCGAGAAATGTAAAAATTTTCAATTCCGATTTTCGGCCCATTACATACTTACCCTACGGGAAGTTAATTAGCAAGTATTAAATTTATCGACGACTTGAAGAAATGTATTCTCATTAGTTGTAATTGATATGAAGACTGCTAATTAAAATGAACACATCAACATTTTTGCATAAAAATGCGAAAAGCATTCATTAGATGGATTCCTCAATTGCAAGAGCTGTGATTGATAAAGTGGCATCAGTAATCGTTCATATAAAGGTTAAGCTAAATCATGCGATTTACTTAAACAAGCGTTTGAAATGTGAGGATAAATGCATTGCAATGTACAGTTCATTAGGCACATAGGTAATACTCGTTTTAAATTAATGAAGCTTAAAGGTTTCGATCTATAGAAAAAGAACATAACTATTGAAAGACATAAATTTCTACATTTAAAGTGAAACTGGAAAATCATTTGTAGAGACTACTAATATATATTTTACTATCATAAATAAGTGAAAAGAAATGGTATATATTATATGTTCGCCACATGTAAATATTGATATAACTTCATTTATCCTTTTTAAAAAAAATCTATTGCGCTTCAAACGTAAATTATTTGTCGAATGGTATACATATATTTAAGTCATTCTATCTATGTTTGTATTTAATAATTGTATGTAGGAGAGCTGGTGGAGAACTAGTATTAAAAAAAAATTGACTCGATTGACCCGTAAACCGACTTCGACTTTCAGTTCCTTCTTCTTCGTATTTCCTCTTCTCGCGTAAATCATCAACCATCTGCATTCTTCTTCTTCCCAGTCCCTTCAGTCCTACTTTACCTTCGACTACGACGTGTAGGAGTCACTTTTTTTTGCAGAATGGGTCCGATCCAATTTCCCTTTCTTTTCAGGATCGTGCTCAGTAGAGTCTTTTCTTTCGCCCACTCTACTCAGGACTTCGTTATTTGTTATCTTGTTCGTCCACTTCAACTTCTCCATTCGTCTCCAACACCACATTTCAAAACTCGCCAGATAGTTTTTTGTCAACTTTTCTTAAAGTTCATGTTTCTGATCCGTACAGAGCTTTATTAGTCTCTTTCAGAAATCTAGGCTCAGTTTGTTCGTCAGTTAAGTAGAATTTCTTCTTCGTGAATGCCGCCTTGGCGCTTGCAATCCTTGCCCTGATCTATTCTCGTGCAGTTTCCATCTCTGGTCAGGAGGCTTCCCAAGTACGTAAAGTGATCCATGTCTTCAAACTCTCGATTTCCTACCGGTATCCTCAAGGACTCATTGATATTCTCATCACTTTTGACTTATTGATGTTTTTTATATTTATTTGAACAGCGATCAGAACTTATGGGTTCTATGAGCTGTTATGATTAATATCTTACAAACTGCGTTTGTTTTATTATAGCTGGCAACCCAAACAGTTGTCTCATCTCTATGTGCTGAATTTTTATTATTATAATTACTGTAATAGTGATGCATTTAATTGGTGCAGCAATGCCGAGCAAGGGCTATTTTCACTTGGAAACATATTGTTATCTATATTTCCAAGTGAAAATCGTTGTCACTGCTGCCTGACAACAGGCTGCTCGAAGTGGGTATCGAACCGGGACGCCTGATCCAGCTCCAGTCGTTCTAGCCACTTACTTACAAGCGGGACTTCCATTCCGTACCGTCTACCTACTTCGACGGTTTTGCTCATCATGTTCTGTAGCTCGGTTTGGGTTTTCGATATCACCACAAGATCATCTGCGTACTTTATGGTGGTGATTTTTCTTCCTCCTAGCGAAAAATCACCTGCGTCCTCAAGTGTATCGTTGACGAGCCTTTGCCATAAAGGTTGAATAGGATCGGTGACATGCAGCATCCTTGCCGCACTCCTCTACCTATTTCAACTTTTGTATCTCCTTGGTTCACTCGAACCTTTGCTTTCTGCACCATATACAGATTCCGGATCAGTGTTTACACAAATAGATTTAAAAACTCTCAAGTGTATAAATCCTCATCCTCCTAATTACCATCGAGACATCTGTCCAACATTTTTCTTAGTATTCAAATAAACTTTGGATTATTTATTTTAATGCCAGCAATTTTATAGATATTTTTAAAAAAATCAACAAATGTTTCTGCCATCTCGGGATCTAATTTATCACATTATACATTTGGCTTTAGTTGGCTCACTTTAATTCACTTTGAACTCCAGTTTCAGATTTTTTTTGTTCGCCTCTTCTTATATATTTTAATTAAAAGGATTGTTTGGCAATTTAAATTACTTGAAAATATGTATTATCAGATTATCTCAATGAAAATATGTACTTCAAATAAGAAATCGCAAACAAAATCACCGAAGAATATGTTAATGAAAACTCTGCTGTTTAAACCAAATACCGTCTATTATTGCAAGCTAAAAGCTTTTTAGGCAATGGAAAAAAAAATTAAATAGTATTTTATTTACTACGTAACTGCATAAAATCTGAATTCGCATTTAACAAATTTTGTATGCAATTACTTTAATATAAAATAAGAGTAATCCGATTT